CCCCCTTTCGTCTTTACCTCACCCCTTCTTGTAATGATGTGTCCTATATGGTTTGATTTTGGTGGGGTTTTTAAAAAAATTGATTACACTTGACCTGGTTAAATGGATTATATATGGAGGGTGTCACTGGTAGCTCCTGCTTCTTTCCCTCCCCTGTGATATTTCTGGCTGTCTGTCTGTCTGTCCTTTTCCATGCACCAAGTTTCCATTACTCAAAGTAAAAATGTATACCATAACAATTTAATAATAATAATGATGATGATGATGATTATGATAGTGGGTGGTTGACGGGGGCTCTGATGTGGTTTGCTCCTTCTTTCCTGTATAAAATCTATCTTCTCTATCTCCCCTCCTTCTTTTTTGTGTTTGTTACTCTCTTGTAATAGTAATACCTCTAATCTTCAGCTCCTATATGACCTTATTGTGTTGCAAGTGCTGTAAAACTCTTGCTAAAACTAAAAAACTGATGCAAATTGTTACAATAGCACCCAGTCCCGTAGAGTGTAGCTCTAGGACTCTAGACACTTCACAACTCCCTCATCTCCACACAACACACACAAGTGAATGATCATGTAGAAGACTTTGTGCTGTTGAGGCCAGAGAGGTGAGCAGAGTAAGCCTGATTCCCCATTTGGACTTCTCTTTTGGCATCCACCCCTTGGTGCTCATACGACCTTATGAAGTTGCGAGCGCCGTAAAACCTTACTCAAAAACTTTCAAGGATATGATCATGCATACATACATACGGTCTTTAGAGTAACGCTAACCTATAGTATGTTATGTGGTATTCACCTTTACATCTATCGCCACCTCAGTGCTTTCTTGTGGTATCGATATTTTTTTTTAACAGTGAAAATGTGAGAATTTCTAAGGCTCACTCTTTGTTATGAACTGTTTTCACTGTTATTAAAAATGGAGATAGGACAAGAAAGCACAGGGGTCGCGGTATGCTGTGTCGAAATCATCTTCCATGACCTTCTATGTCATATCTGTACATATCCCATCCTGAGATCTCTTCTATTCATTTGCTGGTGATGGGGTTCAGTCTTTGCTTGCACTCGTTTGCTTTTGTCTGTATTTCCATGGTTTGTTTGACGTATTAAATAGGTGGTTGGCAGCTATCAAACATGTTTCATTCTCATCTCTTCTCCTTTTTTTTTTTTCTTGGTACTTGGTATGTTACTCTCTAGATTCTAGTATCACCTCCAGTCTTCAGCACTTATAGATCTATGAACAATTTGAGTTGAAAGAGGAGTATATCTTTTACTTAAACTAGAACTGTCAAACTAAAGATTTGTCTTCAGGCATGCCAGTTGTGTATGTGTGTGTTTGTGTGTTTGTGTGTGTGTGTGTGTGTGTGTGTGTGTGTGTGTGCTATAATGCAGTGGCTTAACAGGCATGCCAGTTGCTCTTGATTTCCTGTTTTTTAACAGAAAAATGTTTTGCTCATCTGTGAGGTAAAAGATAGAAATGTTTTAGGCCAATATTTTTCTTGTGAGCATCTTGCTTTTTCTTTCACTAAAAGTATTGTCGTTGTTATTTGTCAGGCTTATGTGGACTCTCTCTATTTTTTGGACGTTTATGTGTGTGTTTGTTAGTGTGTTTGTTTAAGTTCTTAGTAACTGTGTTCAAGAGAAAGACAGAGTGAGAGTGTGTGTGTGCGTTGGGTTGTGCTCTGTTGACGTTTTTCTTGGTTTGCCCGGTCCATGCATGTGTGACCTGGTTTCCTGTGTTCCTGTGACCTAGTTTCCTGTCTTCCTGTGAGTTCATCTTCCACTACCACTTGTCTCATCAAGCTTGTACTCGTTGTTTTGCACGAGTAGTTATCAGGGGTGCCCAATTTTTTTGAGAAATGTAGAAATCCAGATTCCCTAAATTGTCCAGATTTTGTCTGACTGTAGACCCGTTCTTGAGAAGTTGTTGTTCTTCGTAAAAACAAGTCGTGACTCGAGATGTAGGTGACAAAATCATCCGTATAGTTTGAGTCACTGCTAGCACGTTTGCTCGGGGTCTGAATAGGTCAGGATCATTCTCTTTTCCCAGATTGTTGGCACCTTTGATGTGTATATTTGTATGTGTGTGTGAATATCTTACGAACATATTAATATAATTTTGTCGGTCAGCGCAGTGGAATCAGGCGCTTGTCAAATATTAGGGAATGGAGAAAAATCAGTATTTTTCTGATTGTTGAACAATTTTTATAGATTTTTTTTTCTCAGAAACCTTTTCCATCCATTAAAAAAAACAACCCATTTTAGAGTGGATTTTCCTGGTAAATGTTGTTTAAAGCCAAAAACTATGTCATTCTATTGAGTTGAGGGAGTACAAGTTTTCAGCTATAAAGATCACCCATCTTTGGCCGTCTTTTTCTGGCTTATTTCAAGTGCAATATCAGATTTATAACACCTGTCCTTCTGAAATCGCTGATGTTTCAACTTCTGTGAAAGATAGATTTTTTTTTTTTCACCATGTTCAAGAAAAATGTAATAACAGTCTTCAATTTGATAGCCGTAACTTGATATATTTAATACTGTTTCAACTACAAATTGCCGATCGCCTGAGTCCAGCATGCTGCTGCACCGTGACGTATGATGGACTCGTTCACTGACACGTGGAAATGTGAACGTGATTGTGTACAAAGCATGTGCTTGTACTGTCAAATAGGTCTTGTATACAAAGCATGTACATGTACTGTCTAATAAATCTTGTATACAGAGCAGGAACTGTGTAATAGATCTTGTATACAAAGCAGGAACTGTGTAATAGATCTTGTATACAAAGCAGGAACTGTGTAATAGATCTTGTATATAAAGCAGGAAGTGTCTCATAGACCTAGTATACAAAGCACATACTGTCTCATAGATCTTGTATATAAAGCAGGAAGTGTCTCATAGACCTAGTATACAAAGCACATACTGTCTCATAGATCTTGTATATCATACACAACGTACACATTTGTCAGATGTTTTGTTCTATCAAGTGCAAAGAGATATGTTTTTTTTTCCATTTGTATCACTCTAAGCTAAAATCTGTTTTGAATGAACAGAGAATTTATAGTCCAGAACTCTGATTGTCTGACCCTGAGTCCTCATGGGTTAATGCTGTTTTTGTGTGGTAGGGTGGCGGATGCTGTGCTGTGGTTTGCTTCTTCTTTCCTATCAAACATCTGTCGTCCTTATATCTCCTTTCTTTACTCTGTATGTAACTCTCTAGTCCTGGACACTTAAATTACCTATTTGTGTTACCTATGCCGTAAAACTCTTACAAAAACTACAAGTAAGAAGATTTGTAATTGTCTCGCTGTGTGCCATTTTGTATCCCCCCAGGCACCAACAACCCCACACGACCCCGCGGCCCCGAGCTCTCGGCCCAGCGAGAAGGCGTGGCTGGTGGCGAAGTGGTACAACTTTGATACAAGGTCAGTTGTGTGTGTGTGGGGGGGGGGGGGGAGAGGAGAGGGAAGGGTGGCGGAGGGGGAGCTGGTGGATAAGTGGTACAACTTTGATACTAGGTCAGTCACAAGGGGGAGGGGGGAGCAGCCCACGGCTTTGCTACAGTTTATGATATTGTCTCGATATTGTGTCGTTTCTGTCCAGGGTACAGTTTTGTTTGAGACATTTGAGTTGTGTGTGTGTGTGTGTTAAATGGTCTTGTAATGTGCATTTTGTGTCTTTAGATTTGTCTGTTAAATTGAGTGATAATTCTGTATTGTACTGCACTTAGGGCTTTCTAGGAATTAAGCACTATATAAACATCTATCGTTGTTATCTCCCTTCCTTCTTGTTTGTGTTTGTTACTCTCTTGTAACACCTCTAATCTTCTGTTTCACGCTCTCATATGACCTTTTGCAGTTGTGAGTGCCGTGAAACTCTTATTAAAACAAACTCTTACTGAAACACAAAATTCCACTTATCGCGATCGTAACTGATGCTGATGTGGTGCAATGTCCCAGGTGGGTGGTTGGCGGGTGCTCTGATGTAGCTGTTATAACTGTGACACTGATGTGGTGCAATGTCCCAGGTTCATGAAGCCCCTACTGACCAACAGTCGCCCCACGCTGATCGACACAATGCCCAAGTGCTGCCTGCCCATCGCTAAAGCTTTCACCACCGAGGTCCAGCTCTCACAGGTGAGGCCAGCTCTCTCTAGCCGGGGGGGGGGGGGGGGGGGGGGGGGACTTTCTCGTCTTACACAAACTGTGTTATGTTCTCAGACGGGAAAGTTACATTTTCAGGAGAGAGAGAAAAAAACTGTTTGATTTGTTTAAAATGTGAGGCAGTGTGGTGAAATCAGATACTTTTCAAAACTATGAAGTCAACGAAAACATCGTTTATCTGGCCTTTGGACAATTCATTTGTTTAAAAATTATTTTTTTTTGGCTCAACGCCTTTTATGTCCTTTTAAAAACGCATACTTGTTGTGAATATTACTGAAAAACATTAAAGGCTAGAAAAAAGTAAATTTTCAATTTCCAAGAACACTCAAGCTTTGGAAGTCACCAAACTTTGACGGCCATTTTCTCTCTTATTTTATCTCTCTTTCAAGGCGACCCCCCCTCCCTAAATTAATTCAAATTTGTCGGTTCCCCCCTCTTTCACCTAACTGTGTTGACAGGGGCATCAAATTAAATTCTGAGTTCCCGCCTCTTAAATAATGTAATAATGCTGGGGGCGGGGAGTTAAGCAACCCACTGACTACTACCCCCCATTTTCTCCCCCACCAGGGTGAGACTCACGTGGACGAGGACTCGGACACCGACATGATCCTGGACCAGCAGAGTCTGTCTATCGGGGGCGGGGACTTGAACAACTCGGCGCTGTCCCTCAGTGGGGGCGGCGCCCAGGGCGGGGAGGACAGGCCCGTGTTTACCTCGCTGCAGACAGTCATGACTCAGCCCATGCAGGTCAGTTGTGCTACATCATCACCCTCACCGTCGCTGTTATTGTTGTTGTTGTTGTTGGTCATGACTCAGCCTATGCAGGTCAGTAGTGCTACCAACATCATCACCGTCACCACCGTCGCTCGGTCGGTCTTACAGACTGTTGTTGTTGTTGTTGCTGTTGTTATTGTTGTTGTTGATCATGACTCAGCCCATGCAGATCAGTTGTGCTACTTACATCACCATCACCGCGCGGTCGGTCTAACTGACTGTTGTTGACCCCCCCGGGGCAATGCCACGGACTGTAGTGTCTTAAGGCCATTCCCAAAGGGAGGACATTTCTCGTTCAAGCATAGTAGAATTGTAAATGGGCTGACTCATGTCACGCTCATAACTGTGCCTGATCTACAACAGGGAACTGCTGCTTTTTGTTTCCTGATCCTTACTATTGTCATTTTCCTCTACTTCTTTTGTATGTTTGTCGCTTTCTTGTGACCTGCTATTTCTGGGGTACCTTGATAGTCGAAGCAGACCTTGTGATGTTGAAGCTAGAGAGGTGAGCAGTCTAAGTCTGATTCCCTGTAAAAACTTCTCTATTGACACCTACCCCTTGGCGCTCATATGACCTTATGCAGTTGCGAGCACCGTAAAACCTCTACTGTAAAAAAAAAAAAAGACAATTGTTGTTGTTGGTTGTATGTTGATTGGTGTGTTTTTGTATTGTTTTTTGTATGTTGGTTGATGTTTTTTGTATTGTTGGGTTTTTTTTAGTATGTTGATCGGTGTGTTTTGTTTTTTGTATTATTATTTTTTTCTGGTATGTTTATTGTTGGTTTTTGTTTTGTTTGTTTTTTGTATATTGATTGGTGGGGTTTTTTTTATTTGTATTGTTGTTATTTTTGTATGTTTAATATTGGCTTTTGTTTGGGTTTAGTTTATTTATTGTTTGTGTATTCCTGTTTGTTTCTTACATGTTGATCGTATATTAATTGTTTATTGTTTTTTGTATAATTGTGTTTGTATAAATGTATGTATGTCTGTTTGATTTGCTTCGTTTATTTGCGTTATGTGTAATGGTTGTTATTGTAGTTTGAGAGCTTTTTAAAAAATGTTTTAGTAAATTGTTGAGAAAGAAAAGTGTCTTTATGAAGGATTTAGTTAGTTTTGTGAGAAAATTGTCACTTTTGAAATGTCAGCCTAGATTTGTCATGAGCTATGTCAGCCTGCTGCCTCTCTGTTGTGTTGAGGCGAAAATGTGCCTTAAAAAGTTACCTTCTGTGAAGTTCCCTTCTGTGAAAATGTGCCATAAGAAATTCCCTTTTGTGAAAATGTGCCATAAGAAATTACCTTCTGCGAAAATGTGCAATAAGAAAATCCCTTCTGTGAAAGTGTGCAATAAGAAATTCCCCTTCTCTTGGGGAACATGGCATTGTGTGTCTAGCGTTGTGTACCATATGTATAACAATGGGAAAGGAAATATGACGTAAGAATTCTTCCTATTGCTGTGCTCCGAGTTCATTCACAGCAGTCTTCATCAGGTTGGTGGGTGCTCTGGTATGATTTGCTCCTTCTTTCCTGTCAAACATCTATCGTCTTTATCTCTCCTCCTTCTTTTGTGTGTTTGTTACTCTTTTGTAACACCTCTAATCTTCGGTAAGTATATGACCATGTTGAGTTGCAAGTTCCGTAAAAGTCTTTCGAAAACTAAAACTAAAACAGTTGTCATGTAGTGCATTCAGCACTGAATCAGGTGACTGGCAGTGTATTTGAGTGTGTATGTGTGTGTGAGGGTGTTTGTTTGAGGGTGTGTGTTAGTTTATGTAAGGGTGTGTGTGAGGGTGTGTGTAAGTTTATGTGAGGGTGTGTGCGTTAGGATGTTTGTGTGAGGGTGTGTGTAAGTTTATGTAGGGTGTGTGTGTGTAGGTTTATGTGAGAGTGTTTGTGTGAGGGTGTGTGTGAGTTTATGTGAGGGTGGGTGTGTAGATTTGTGTGAGGGTGTGTGTAAGTTTATGTGAGGGTGTGTTTGTGGATGTTTGTGTGAGGGTGTGTGTAAGTTTATGTGAGGGTGTGTATGTTACGATGTTTGTGTGAAGGTATGTTTAAGTTTATGTAGGGTGTGTGTGTGTAGATTTATGTGAGGGTGTGTGTAAGTTTATGTGAGGGTGTGTGTAAGTTTATGTGAGGGTGAGTGTGTAGGTTTGTGTGAGGGTATGTGTAAGTTTATGTTAGGGTGTGTGTGTGTAGGTTTATGTGAGGGTGTATGTATGTAGGTTTATGTAAGAAGGTGTATTTGAGGGTGTGAATGTGTGTATGTGTGTGTGTGTGTTTGTATGAGGGTCTGCATATTAAAGTAATGTGTTAGTGAGTAATCCTTACTTGTGAATGTGTGTATGTGAGGGGGTGTATGTGTGTGAGAGAGGGTGTGTATGTGTAGGTGTGTGTGGAAGGGTGTGTGTGTGTGTTTGAGAGGGTCTGTATAGATTAATGTTATTTGTTAGTGAGTAATCCTTGTGAATGTGTGTGTGAGGGGGGTATATGTGTGGATGTGTCTGAGTGGGTATATGTGTGGATGGATGTGACGGGGTGCATTTGTAAGTGTGAGGGTGTGTGTTTGCAGGCATGCGTTTGTCCAGTTTTTGAAAGGGTCCAAGATATGAACCGTTAATATCATGCTGTGGCAAATTTTAGAGTGATTCTGTGTCTCGTCTGGCATCCATCAAATGTGGCGTAGATCGGTTTGGATGATGTTTGCTGCCCTTATCGAACCCCCCCTCCCCCTGTGCCCCCTTTTAAGAAAAATGAAAAAGAATTTTAAAAATCACCCACGGGCAATGCATAACGCAGGGATGGGGGGAACTGATTTTTAAAAAGTCAACAAACGAAACTGTAGACGTTAAGATTCTCTGGTATCATCTCATCCCAGCCGTCGACACCCAGTGCAGGGAAAAAAATAATAGAAATATGAATAGTAATAATAATGATGATGATGATAATAATTATAATGATATTAATAATGATGATGATATTAATGATAACAATAATAATGGTAATGATGATAATAATAATGATAACAATTATTGTTATGACAATAAAGATTTTAGATTGCATTTATAATGCGCTCTATCCCATACGAGTATGAGCTCTGAGTGCTTTACATCGATCACATAATCACTGAGCGTAATACTTCATTCACACAAGATAAAACGTTTCTTTGGGTGTTTGGCGGATGCTCTGGTGTCGTTTGCTCCTTCGTTCCTATCAAACACCTATCGTCCTTATCCCTCCTCCTTCTTTCCTATCAAACATCTATCGTTTTTATCTATCCTCCTTCATTTTTGTGTTTGTTACCATCTCTATTCTTATATGAACTTATTGTTTTGCAAGTGCTGTAAACTCTTACTAAAGCTAAAAATAAATACCATTTCACAGTAACAAGACAGACCAGTTCTACCGCATGAAGAAGAACCATACATTAATTATGTACACTACATAAGGATGGCAGTAACAATGTTTGAAAGTACCAGAACTTGGCCCACCATGTGGATAGTCTGTTTTTTGGATGTGAAAAGTTGGCAGCTGTTATAATAGAGTATTGCGTCTTGTTTGTTTTCTCTGCCTGTATGTCTTTGAGCTCTTGCCTCTTGCACTGTTGCTGCTTTCTGTTTGATTTTGTTTGTGCAGTTTCTACTTTTGTTTTGTTTATTTATTATCTTTCTGTTCTCCATTTTAAGTTCATTTTTGTTATCCCCCTCTCTCCCCCTCCTCATCCTCCTCCCCCCCCTCTCCTG